GGAAATGGAGCCCAGGCTTTCAGGAGGTCAGCTGAATTGGGAGAGGCCAATAAGCATGTTGAGCATTTTTTAAGAATTCCACAACAACTTGTTTTTTTGTGAGGATTATTGTATTTGAAATAATTTTACACTATAATATGCTGTACAGACATCAGTAATTATTAGTGTGTCATTCTCCTTAAAGCAGAATTCCTGCTGTGAGTTCAGAAGACCAGAATTCTAGTCCTGGCTCCATTACATACAGTGATTTAATCATTTAATCTTTATAAGTCACTTAATCTTTATAAGCCTTATTAATCACTATCTGCCTATAGCATGTTGTTATAAAGACTAAATGAGATAGCATATTTTAAAACTATAAAGGTTTTGATCAACCCTATTATTTAAAAATCATATCAGTATTGTAATTTAAGAATCCTAGGATCTTCCTCTCCCTCAACTCCAAACTCCATCTTATTTCCCTTTTACAAGCCACAGGCTGCTGGGACCTATGGACAACTGTGTGCGAATGAGGCCTTGGGTTCTTTGGGAGTCATGGCTAAGAGGACTGCTGTAAGGGCTGCTCCATTGTGCACTAGCCCAGCCCCTGGAAATGTGTATATGAGGAGGTGGGGTTGAGATGGGATGTGGGCAGGAAAGTAACTTGGAAGATGCTTGCCCCCAGACATTTCTGGAATTCTTTATGGGAAAGATCGGTTTAGCACTATGAGAGAGTTTGGGGACTCCCTGGACCCTAAAAGCTGAAAAAGAAGTTGTATAGCTGCCCCTGAGCTGGGAGACTACAGAGAGATAAGGGGTCAGGAAGACTTCCTTTAGATTCTTCCCTGAGGCCAATAACCTGATTGTTTTGAATGCCACTGGCCCCTTGGGAATAAATACCATATTGCCTTCCACCTTTGTTTCACTGCTATCATTTGGGTACTCTAAAAACCAGACTTGAGCTGCCAGTGGACTGCTAAGAAAAATAGCCACTAAGGTGCTCCCCTGATACAGAAAAGAAGTTGAGTTAGTGTTCAGCTGCTTGCTATTACTTGAGATACAAGTGTTGGTAGGAAAGGAAAGGTTGCTTAATCGGGAGGCCAACAACCTGGGGAAAAGGTGAACTTGTGTCCAAAAGCCAACTTCCAACTGTCGGTCAGAGGGCAAGAGCTTTTAAAGGGAAGTTTCAGAATGTATAGGTGGAGGTGGGAACAGCACAGGCAGCTCTGACAATCATCTTGAAATTGGTCATGTGGTGAGCTGATCAGCGTCATCTCGATTGTTTTAAGTACAGTTAATCTTCAGTTCCAGGGTCAGTTTGTTCCCACGTCTTTGAGGCCAGTTCTTGAAATTACATAGGATGGAGCTTATGTCATGGCTACTGTTTGGTCATCATGTAGTTATCTTTTTCCACCTGGTAGGAGTTTCAGTATCTGCAAAGCAGCTCAAAGGATATGTATAGCTCAGAATATTATCTGTAGCCCTTGAGGAGGAACTAAAGGCCCTTGACTTTGTTTAATGGCTAAACTATTATTATTTTGTCTTGTTTAACTATTTTCCTTTGCTTCTGCATTTTCTCACTTCTCTGATAAATTTGTTCTTTGGCTAAAGTTTTTCTACATAAAAAAGGCAGGCAGAGGACATGAGGGGATAGGTCTGTCCTCAGAAGGCCCCATGGGGTCCTGCTTGTTACAATAGGACAGACAGAATGCACACCCAACAAAATAGAACTATTGAAAGGGCTAACTGTCATCCTTACTAACCCATTACACCAAGCTGCCTGGATATCTGCATGGTCAGACTATTCAGGATGGCTGTTCTCTTGCTCTCTGTACATCCCTTGCTTGACCAGTCCCTGCTTTACTCACATGACTATCTAATCCTCTAATTATAGGGCTTAATTAGTCCCTGGTAACCAATGAGCCCACCTGACTGTCAATCCCCTCTATACACGGTAGCCTCCTTCTCCCCTGAGGAGTGAAGCCTGCTGCCGTATCCTGCCTGACGTCTATTGTGCACGGGGGGCTGTTGCTCCAGGACCCTTTGTGTAAGATCCCCCATGAAATGAATCATTGTTTTTTCTTTCACTGTTTCTTTCTCTGGTCTCAAGGCTGGGCACCTATAAGGTGTGAAGGCCTGTGGGGTGCAGTCCAACAACTTCCAACTGCTAGCATCTGCATTCTTTGCCTGAGGCCTTTTTATGGCCACCAGAGCCCACCTTGCTGCCCACGTGGCAGACTGGGGTGCAGACCCTAGGGGGAGCCCTTGACCAATGGCTGTGGGAAGTTAGTATATAAGTATTCCATCTTTCTCACTCCTTGAATGAGAGAACTCTGAAGTTTGTTTCATAATGGCCGTCAAAGTTCTTTAATGGGATTAGCACCAGTTAACCAACAGTGCTAACTTCCTTGATAGTAATCCTTTTATTGGCTTTCTTGCCTTCCTTAACTCACTTGTCTGCTCTGTCACCAGTCTTTCCCAGGATCACCTCCCAAATAAACTACTTGCACTCAAACCCTTGTCTTAGGGCCTGCTTCTAATGGAACCCAAACCAGGCTTGTACTGTGCCAAGGAGGATTGAGTAAAGCAAACAGACAGTGCTCCCCCACTTGACTTCCCAGAATATTTCCAGTTTGGCCTGGAAGGATTTTCTCTTCAGGGAGTTTGACCAGCTGGAAAGAATGAGCTACAGATACTGATACCACGTGTTCCCAACCAGTGGCCCAGCCAGATCATCCTACTGTGAATCTCTCAGGAAGCAAGTCCCACCTACGTGGTGGGAGCTTCCAATCAGCTTTTATAGCATTTGACTGCGGTTTTTTAGTTCCCTACTTTTAAGTATGAGTGACTAGTTGAGGACCTCCGGAAGATTTCTAATATGATAGGTGGAGACTCAATTAATAAGAAACAGCAGCTGAGAGGAATAAAAGACTTATCCAGAAAGAAAAAAAACTTTAAAAATGTATTAGTATTCTCATAGGGATAAGGAATCTATGAAGCAAGGCACCGCAACCAAGAGATATTTGAAGAATGAAAGAGAAGCCTAGAAAAGTAAAAACTATCAATGGCTGGAAAATAAACTTGGGGAATCCTCCATAAAAATCAAAAAAGAAAAAAGGAGAGAAAAATAGATGGTAACAGGGTCCTGTATCAAATTTGGGCTTCATCATACATTGGAAGCTGATGTAGGGGAGCTATCAGAAGCTGAGAAGATAGTAACTTGTTCATGTCTGAACAAAACAAAACTTGGGCAGTTGTACAGGCTGAGAATGGAGGTGGAGGTACTGGTTAGGGTTAGTGATGAGAAATAATGTGAACCTGATATATAGGCAGTGGGCATTTGGACAGAAATTAAGAGAAATGTAACCAAGAAGGACCCTACTGTCATCGTGACAATCTGATATCTGTAATGGTGTTTGTAACTGCTTAACTCTATAATGGTTTAAAGGATTTTTCTCATGCTCTTGCTGACCAGGGTTAGGCTGGAAAGGAGGAGGCTTGGGTGGTGTGTCCATCCCCATTGCGGTGCTGGTGCTGCCTGCAGGGATCATGCTTAGTGCCCTGCTTTTGCCCCCCTCCCCCGACCTCCTCTTGAACCCAATGCCCTCCTCTTGACCTCAGTGCCCTTCTTCTGACTCCCTATGGTTTCCTTGTATCCTGTTGTTGGAGCTGCAGGCCTCAGACTGCTTAAAAGGCTTAAATGTATCACTCTGACTTCAAACTGCATAAGTTTTTCTCAAGAGCTCTTTTCCATAAAGCCCCTTCGTATGTATTCTTTGTTCTAGGTACAAGAATATTAAGAGAGTCCCAAAGCTGGAGGTGACCTTCATACCCGGCAGAGGGAAGGGGACCCCCGTATCTGCAAAAACAAGAACAACTTTGCCACAATTTTTTACCCTATGTGCTATCTCTATGGAGACTAGCTTGACCCCTTTTAACTCTTGAACTTTTACTATAAAACTCCCTGCTTTCTCTCCCCAGAAGGCTCACACTCTTAGAGGCATTAGCCCACTCTGACCTTCTTTGCCTGGCAAAAAAGTAAAGCTACCTTTTCTACTTCATTCAGAACTGCCCTTGAGTCTCAATTCTGTAAGTGGCCTATGAAGGCTGTATGTTGGCAACAAAAAGATGGGAGAGCAAATGGTAGAACAGACTAAGCTCACAATGGAGTAGGTGTGTATGTGTGGGTCTGATAAAAACCGAGCAAGTTGAAAAATGGAAGGATCCAGAGCTTCTACAAGTATCCCAAATTGATTGGACTCCGTTAAGTAAGATGTGGAATGAATGAGGACTAGCCGGTTGGAATGCTGTGAGCATGTAGGAGGTGAAAGGCAGATGCCCCAGTCCAGGTTCAATCAATTCATATTTTCTGAGATCTTACAGGGTGTCAAATACTGGGATAAAGTCTCTTGTCTTCACAGTCAGGGCCGAGTGCTCGCAAAGTGACAGAGGTCAGCAACCACAAAAATTACAACTCTCAGGGGTTTATAGTGAAAGGAGACACAGCCCTTGGCCAGGAGGTGCTGCGGCTGGAGTGAGTGTGTGTGGGGGACATCTGGTGATAGGAACCGTGCATGCATACGTGTGCTGAATGCGCCCACGGGCTCTGCGGTGCAGAGGTCGGCGCACCTGCTCAGTCGCGGGGAGGACGTGCAAACCATGCCAAGTCCCGGTTATTGGTCTTCAGACTTCTTAGGAAAACCTGAGCCCTCTAGATTTCTTAGTAGTGCAAAGGAGGTATGGTGCGCATGCTCCTACCCACCCCAAGGCCCAGTCAAGGGCGGCGGGAAGTTGGTTTTATGAGTAGCAGCTGAGCAGCTTTTAGACGGATTGGAGCCCACGGACCAATAAACAAATGTCTCATTGGCTTAGCTTGCGCAGGCTCCTTGTTCTCCAGCTTCCCATTGGTCCTTTCAAGCAGGGAAGGGCGTGGCTCCAGGGGCTCCGCCCCGCGCCTCGGCCCAGCCTCGGGGTCCAGGGCTGAGGGAGCGGGACGGAAGTGAGCGGGTCCCGCCCCTTCCCCCTCTCGTTTTCGTTGGAGCCGCCGCCTCCGCTGCTGCCCGCTCTCCGGCGAGCCGGAGTCTCCGTGCCGTACCCTCGGTCCCCGGCCGCGCGGAGCCGGGATGCACTGCTCCTGCTGTGGGTCCTCATCATGGAGACCAAACGGGTGGAGATTCCCGGCAGCGTCCTGGACGATCTCTGCAGGTACCGCGGCGCCCCTCACTGCTCCGGCCCCCTTTCGTCCCTTGCTCTTTTTCTCTGAGTTTCGGCGACTTTGCGTCTCCTCCCCTGGCCCCCGTCCTTGTCCTGGCTTTCTGGTCCCGCCGCTGCTCCCTTTCGCCGGCCGACCCTTACCTCGGACGACACCACCCCACTTTTTTCGCCTCAGTCTCCCGGTTTCCCACGCCCCCCTCCATTTCTCCTCGCGCAGCACCGGAATTTCCTCATTTTCTAAGTTCCTCAACTATTTTGCTTTCTTGCAAGCGAAACCTGGGTCTTTGGCATTTTGCGGCTGCCCCTCCCCCTCCCATTGCTTTTTCTGGCTCTGACTTTCACAGACCGTTTCCCCCCTCTCCCCACCGTCTCATTCCCAAATTTTGTTGAAAGACCCCAGGGTTTTTAAGTCTTAGAATCCTAGGGAGCAATTTTCACTTAACCCCACCTCCCATATTCTTATATATCCGTGGCGTTCTCTGTAAACTGCTGTGAAGAATTACTCTCTTGATTATCCCAAAACTTATCACTGGAAGTGGAAAAAAAAAAGTCTAACTGCTTTTTAAAAAATTCTTTAATTATCCTTCTTAAAGGAAACTCTCAACCACAGGGTTTTATCTCATGGTATACTTTTATAAGGGAAGTTGTTTGCATTTTTCGTGTCGGCTATGATTTCAGAAAGCCAAGCACGTGTAAAATGGACTTAAAATTTTACTTGAGGAAAAGAAAATGTTTTTGTTGAGGTAATACCCTGAGTTGTTGCTGTAGCAGTTGTGTCGCCTTCACGCTTTTTTTAAATGGGAGGGAAAGAACTAGTGTTTGTGGAGTTAGTACTGAGTGCCAGGCAGGCACTGATTCCTCGTTTCACATGTATTATTTAATTTTTGAAACAACCCTGTTTGGTAGGTTCAGTTATTTCCGTTTTCATCAGACAGACTCAGAGGTTGTAATTTACACAAGGTCACATTCATCTTAATTTAGAAAATCAAGATTTGAAACCTAGACCTTTTTCTCTATGATACTTGTGTTTTTTCTCCTACACAGGTGGATGTAATGGAAAGTTAAGTCTCACGTTATAACTTCATGAAAGAAAGGTACATGTAGATAGGTAAATAGACTATATTCTGCAACTAAGAAGAATTAGTGTCACTGTACTTTAGTGATGGTGTGGTTATAACTTTTGGAATATGATAGACTAAAATGAACCATTTAAAAGGCACTAATTTTCTGTGATCCCAAATTTCAGAAAAAAAGAAAAGAGGTTTGATGTCTGTCCTTGTGGTTAAATGACCAGAAGAACTTGTACCAGAAGTGGAATTACGATTTTTATTTTCTTATTCTTGTTTCCAGAATTTTTTTTAAAGGATGTACCTTTTTATAGTTAGAAAAATACAATATTTGGAAAGGTGAGCAATAATTACGTATGACTTAATAGGGATACAGATTGGTTTAGAAAAAGATAGGTAATCTTATATCTAAACCAATCTTCCCATTTGTATTGGGTTTATTTTGTATATTATATCATTTAAAGAAGTCATACTAGCCATTATGAAAATAATTGATTTTATGTGTGTAATCTTACAAAACAGTGGTGTCGTAATTTGTAAACATCACGTTAAACATCTGAGTATTAAATAAAGATTCTTAATGTGGTTTTCCAGTGAGTGTATTTAAGATATTTTATAAGAATCTTGGTGAATAGAGAAACTTTTTTTTTCCTTTTGAAGAAAATTTTTTTGCAGTTACTGTGTTTTGGCTCTGTAGGATGATGTGTTTAAAAATTAGGGCTAGCTTTGATAAACTAATAGTAAAACTGTTTCTGAACCAAACTTGGGTCTGCCTGCCTGATGTGCAGCAGAGCCAGTACTGACACTGGGTTGTGGTGAAGTAAAGTTCATTTCTTGCTGGGCCAAGAAGTGAGAATGGGCAGCTCATGCTCAAAAGCCAGGAACTCCCCAGTTTCCTGGGGTTTTCAAGGGCAAGGTGAGGGAGAGGGTCTGGGGTGAGTCAGCTGGCGTAAATTCTTCTGATTGGTTGGTGGTGTGGTAATTGGCATTTTGGGAATCTCAGTTATCAACTTTGGTTTGTAGGGTCTGAGGTCTGCATGCTGATGTTAACATGCAGTTCACTGCTTCCACCTGGTGAAGGTTTTAGTCTCTGTGAAACAACACAACGATATAGCTCAGGGTATTACATATAGACCTTGAGGAGGAACTAAAGGCCTTTGACTTTCTTTGATGGCTAAACTATTTGTGTAGCTTTACTGCTTGCCTTGTTCCTGCATTTTCTTGCTTCTCTGAATCAAATTTAGCCTAGGAGGCTAAAACTTCTACAAATAAGAGGTGAGCGACAGGGGGTGGGGATGTCTTTCCCCAGAAGGCTCCACATGGTCCTGCTCTATTTCAAAACCAAGTAACTGTTTCTTAAAACTTCAGGTTTTAGAAGTAATGCCATTTTCAAGTTAATACTTATAGTATGTTTGATTAAGCATTTTTAATGTTAACAATTCTGACTTTTGTGGGCTCTTTCAGAAAAAAATTTACAGTTAACAATTTATGGTTACTTTCTATAAAAAAAATAAAGCTTAAGTTGAAAAAGTTTGCTTTTTCTACTTTTCTGAGTATCTCTTGATTTATGAGTTTGGTCTTGTTTTTACTCCCTTTATATTGCCTCCAATGTTACTGCTTGTTTTTAAGAGGTTTTTCTTGTTTTGGGTTATTTTGGTTTTTGGTAAATTACGTAGTGCAGGTAATCTTGTCAACTTCAGTCATTGACCATATATTAATGTTTTGGAGAAATGTAAAATCTGAGATTGATTTTGATGTGAAAAATTAGATCAGGAGACTTAAGTTTTCAAGATCTGAACTTTGTAACTATTAAACAGTGTATAACCTGAGACATGCAATGTTATTTTCCAGATGGTTTAATATTCAACATTTCATTGACTGGAATGCTTGTGCAGCCATTAGGAATTCCTAAGGCAGTTAGCAAACAGTAAACTGAGAGAAAATACTTGTCTCGAAAAGATGTGCAAAGTATACTAATAAATGTAACAGTCATTTGATGTCCTTTGTTAAAACAAATTTTTAAGTGTTTCGCAGGTATATGTTTGCGTGTACGCACAGGAAAAGTCTGAAAGAATATACACCAAACTAATAACACTAGTGACTTATGGCTAGGATGAAATTAGAGGAGAGAAAGGGAGGACTCTTGTTTAAGATGTTTTAGTGAACCAAAATTGTTTTATAATAAAACATGTGTGTGTGTGAAAAAGTAAATCACCATTTTATGGTGATACTTCAGTGCACCATGATTTTTGACATCAAAAGTCAAATATATAGTTTTTTAAAAATACCATTTAAGTTAGCTTATTAAAGATTGGGGAAGCATGTTTTTTAAAGTAAAAACTGAAAATTGCACTTTGGTCAGTATCTCTTTTTTATTTCTATTTTTAAATTCTTTTTTTAATTTTGGGGGGATGTAGTTTTTTTTGTTTTAAATGGAGGTACTGGGAATTGAACTCAGGATCTCATGCATGCTAAGCACGTGCTCTACCACTGAACTATACCTCCCTCCCTCCCAGTTGTTTCTCTTAAAGAAGTAATTGGAGTTCTTTATAAGCCTCTTTAAGAATTAAACGGTGAGGCCACTCCAGTGTTAAAAGGATAAAGATATTTTCTGGCAACTAATGTTGCTGCTATTTTGGTGATTGCCTAGGTTAATTAAATAATTTGTGCTCATCTCCAGCTCCACATTTTAGTGTTCAGCTCATCTGAAACATTTTTGTTAATTGCAGTCCTTGTGCTAATGCTTTTTCGATCTGTGGGCACATTGAAAAGGTGACACTTGGAAAGTGGAGAAATTTTTCCTGTAACAAATTATTTTGGAAAGTATTTTTCCTGCTATTACAATATACATTTATATGTGTGTATACACTTCTGAATCTTTAAAACACATCAAAAACATTCACAGACTGAAAGCACTGAAGTGTAATTTTCATGTATTGAAACTTTGTTTTGTAAAGTTTCTTAGAGAAGTTGGCCTTGAACTGTTAAAAAAAAAAAAAGTACTCTCCTGTGAGGTTAAAAAAAACAAAACAGTACAGACGAATTTATAAAATGGAAAGCAACACTCTCTTGCCCTACCCCTTTGTATCACAGTTCTGCTCTCTAGACGTACCTGTTACATGTTGAACTATTCTGGTGGATACTTAAATATTGTAGAGTATACTTGGACAAATTTCTTGTGTTATCAACTTTAGATACTAGATTGAAGACTTAGTGTATCTTGGTAGATTATCAGGTGAGGGTTTAGTTTACACTTACTGTTGCCCTCGTCCTCCTTCCAGTACAGTTAAATCACTATTTTAAGTTGTTTCATTGGTTAATTTTGTGACTTTAAAGTTTTATGAACTTCTGAACAGTATCTCGAGTCTCTCATGAGGTGAGGCATTTAGTGTCCTATCATTTCTTCCATTTCTTACCCATTCCCTCAGCTTCTGTCCAGGTGAACCTAACATAAAAGTTAAGATTAATAATGTTTATATTCCATTTTGTAACCTTATGAAGTCTTATACTTTTTGCTATTGATTCATTGCAAAAGCTGAACAATTAAAAATTATAATAGTGTTTGTTATGCATCATGTCTATGTAAGTGTTCTCACAGTAGAGGCAAGTCTGCATGGCTAGGGTTTTGTTTCTTTTCAATCTGCCATGGTCATGATCCTTTTTTAAGAATCTTGAAGGAGAATGTCCGGGTGAATTCTCCTGGTCAAAATGATGCCTTTTAATTTTTTCTTTTGGAGAAAGAAGCATATGCTCTCTTCATTATTCCCTGATTCCTTGTAGCTATTCTTGAAATAATTTTTCCCCATTTGTTCTAATTTTGGCTTTTTGCCTCACGTTTGGACTCTGACTCTCTTGTACATTACCCCTCCGTTCCCAGCATGTCCAGAGTTTCTAGCTGCCTTCTGTCTCCCCCACCCTACCCCT